CTTTTCAAGATAAGGATCGATTGGTTTGTCACCCTCTAGGTAGACGGACACCACTCCCAACTCCCATGCCCCTGTCCTGAGTTTAGCGACTGCGATATTCTCTGTAGTTAGGCTGGGGCATTGGGCGATGTCAATGGCGTCATCGAATAGCACAATAGCAGCCTTATTCACTTTTTCAGTGCTTAGGCTTCTGTCTCTTTGTGCTATTCTCGTCCCCGAGTAGGTCTTCATTTGACCAATTCGACCAATATAGGGCTCCTGAACCATAGCGAAAGATATCTTTCGCTTGGTCGCCTCTGTAATTAGTTCGGCCGTGGCTAGCTCGCACCTTTGGAGATTTGCCTGGATCACGTGATATCGATGGGGACGGGTGTTAGGTTCCGTGTTTACGTTTGAGTCAACCTTAGCAATACGCTACGGTAGACCTGGCGAGTACTTCCCATCTCTTTCTTACTGGACAGCCTTCGCTGAATGCGTTGTGATCTTTTCTATCGTGTTTTGCCTTCTTGCAGTTTATACATTCTGGTGTCTCTCCTGATAGCCAGTCGGCACATTCAGCTTTGAGATGTGGGCCTCCGCAATGACTACAGGCATCAGTCGCTTCAGTACATATGCGCTTGCTGTGCCCGTATCCCAGACAGCGCGAACACTGAACAAGAGGGGACTGATCCATTACTCTTACCCGCTGTAGATCAATGTGGATAACTCTAGCTTCGGTAAGATGATTCCAAATCTGGGGCGAGACTCTCAGTACAACGTGGGATGTATGTGGGTTCCTGGTCCTTTTCCTGTATTTAATTTCTATTCTATCTTCTTTCTCTAATATGTCTTTAAAAAGCTGCTTATTTTGCATCCTTATTGCCTTTAGTATCTCCTCATCAGTGTTATACTGCATAACATCTCTCAGAATTATGAGCGGATCCTTGTTTTTTATATCATCCACATTTAAATCCTTCCCTGCCTGTTTTAACCTCTCTTTGACTTTATTTATTTCCTTCTCCGTTCGGCATCCCAGTATTACTTTCCTATCCCTTGCCTTCCTGATTTTGTCTATTTTTAAACCTTCTTCCTTGGCGTTTATAGCGTTTCTTATCTTGTCAATGACCTGGTCTCCTGTTTCCTTTTCGTCATTTGATGTTATCATCACTGAATGCATAGCCATGTTCTGTGTAGGTAAAAGTGAACTTCTTGGTGGTCCAGCCGCTATGCTTGCGTATGTTCCTCTGTCCTCTTTAATTTCTTGCTTTTTCATTTCTTCTCTTAACTTTTCCATCTCTTTTCTACTTTCCTCTAAGAGTTTCCCGTGCTCTTCCAATTTCTTCATAAAGATTTGTTCTTCTTCTTTCTTTTTCCTGCTTTCATCGTCTAGTTTATCTCCTTTCTTCTCCTGGTCTTTAGGTTTTTCTTCTTTCTCAATGTTATTTCCTATTTCCGCCTCTTTCACCAATTGATAGAGTCTCTCTACTGCCTGAGTGACTTCCATTTTTATGTCGGTCCTTAGGTTTCGAGAGTTGTTGAGATGTAATTTTGCCTTTTGGAGACAGGCTCGAGCCTCTGTTAGACGATCCACATATTTTATATTTGCGATTTTGGGAGAGCTTTCTGTATTCTCAACTACTACTTTACGAGTTGTTCCTCTTGTTTCCTGAGATGGAACAACCTTCTGTTTTTGACGAGCTCCTGAGGCTACCTTTTTTGGTGAGATTTGTATTACAGTCTCCGTATCTACTTTTCCCATTTCCCACTCTCCGATACTTCTTCTTACGCTAGGGAGTTGCTTTGTACTATCTGTTTTAGGAGAAGGCCCAGCCTTCTCTTTCCCGTTTGAAGTGCCCTGAGGACTCGTGTCCTTGGCACTATCCTCATTCTTTTTGATAGGTGTACGAATGCCGAACATTTTCAGGGGAACGCGTCTTAGGTCTCAACAATTAACAAAATAATGTAAAATAAAAAGTTATATGCAAATAAATTAAAACAGATAAATAAACAACAGCAATAGCTGTTTGTCAAATTATGAAATTTTAAAGTTTGTAAAAGTTATAAAGTATTTTAAAAGTGTTAAAATTTTTGTGTAGATATTTGACAAGGATGCGGTATTTGAATTTTTCCAATTAACGAAGACACACAAATACCACGTCACAGTTCTTTTTATAAAAGTTTCTTTTTGTAGGGTCACAGTTCTACCTTCGTTACTGTGTATCACTTATGTATGTACTATGTATATACACAGTACAATATAATTGTAATGTTAAAATTATTAAAGAGTTTTGTCTCTTGTTGTCTATTTTGACTCTACCTAGAGTCTGTCGGTTCTCTATTTCTTGTGTTATAATTTTAAATATATACTGAATATATAAACTCTATATAAAGTCCAACTACACAATTACAAAAGTAATAAAAATTAAATGAATCAAAATAAAATCAAAAACAAATATCTTTATACTGCTCTATATAGAGTCAGTCTCCGTCTATTCTATCGGTTCTATACTAAAGGTTTCTACAAGATCTGTCTTAAATATTAAAAATTTCTTAAAAATACTACATATACGGAGAGTTATAGACTAACAGGTCTTTGACTCTATGTAGAGTCTGTATCTCGTAACCGGCCAAAAGTACTCCTCGAGCCCTATTCAAAGAACCCAAACTCGGTATACCTAGCCCAATAGGTTCAAAAGTTACCGCGTTTTCAAGTTCTGGTTGAAAAACAAGATGGCTGCCAAAATACGGTTTCCACGCTGTAACTTCCGAACGAACAGGCTTACAGCTCCGTGCTTGGGCTCGTCTTACTGGGCTCGACCAGGGCTATAATTTTGTGTGGTTTTCAGGGATCAAAATTTTGGGTACTGAAATTCCCTGAAAGCTGGGTTACCTGTTCCGGCACTACTTGCCAACGTCTAGAGTCCAAACCCCAGTCCTCTACGACTCCTAGAACAGGAGTTATTCCGATCCTAAACTTTTCAAAATGGCCGCCAGTCCAAACAGCAAACGGCTATTTCGGGCGTCTTTTAACCGATTTGGCCCGTGTTTGGGCTCATTTGAAAAGCCTCGGTGTCAAGCTTAAAGTTTTGTAAATATTTTGGCGATTAAAGCCCCCTTTAATAATAATTTAGACAAAAAACATATAATATTTTAGAAAATTTTGAATTTTTCGGCCAAATTTAGTTTTAAAAATCTACAAAAATTTTGAAACGTTATTCTCAAAATCCTTCCTATGAATATATATTTTTAAAATTTTTAACATGTAATATTAAGTATCATATGGTGATTTAAAAAATTAAAAAATTTCTAACTTAAAAACTACTTATTGCAAAAATCTAAATTTAAATATACACATTTAATATACTAATCTTAACACTATTTTATTCTAAAAACCAAGGGCTTCAATTTCGTTATTGCATAATTTAATAAACAAATTTTTCGAAAATTTAAAAGTCCAATATTTCTTCAACCACTTAACTTAAAATAGTTTAAAAAACTGCTCCCGGCTCCACTCTACGTTCGCTAACAGAATGTGGCTCCAAAAACAGCCGCACGATTCTGCATCACCGAACACGTGCCCACGTGGTACTTGTTTTTTTGGGTTTTTCTCAAAAACTGTTATTCGCAAAAATCTCAAATTTTGCACATTTGTAGGGACCACTAATAGCTTTAAAGCCGCACTATAAAAATGTGGGGTCTTCACTTTAGATTTTGAATAATTTAATTTTGAAATTTTGCCAAAATTTAAAAGTTCAATAATTCTTTAACCACTTAACTTAATTTTGTTCCGAAAATTGCTCCAGGCTCTTCTCCACGTGTGCTACCGAAATGCGACTTCAAAAGTAGCCGCACGATTTCGGATCATGAAACACGTGCCCACGTGGCACTTGTTTTTTTGCGTTTTTCTCCGAAACTATGGTTCGGAAAAATCTCAAATTTTGTTCATATGTAGGGGCCACTTATAGCATTAGAACCACACTATAAAAAGTTGGGGTCAAAGCGCTTAATCGCACAGCGTTCCACTTTAAAGATTTTTCACTTTTTGAAAAACACTTTTTTCCGGATAACTTTTCAAGCAAAACTCCGATTTTCTAACACTTTTCACTATTTTAAACCTCTCGACGAGACGCGTCTTTTGGTATATCGCACGTAAAAATCCGATGCAAAAAACCTATTTTTACGTATTTTTAAGCGCGGAGCGACTCAAAAACGTGGCGTTCGGGACAGCAGTTGACACCGGACTGGGGGTTAGGTTAGGTTAGGTTAGGTTAGGTTAGGTTAGGTTAGGTTAGGTTAGGTTAGGTTAGGTTAGGTTAGGTTAGGTTAGGTTAGGTTAGGTTAGGTTAGGTTAGGTTAGGTTAGGTTAGGTTAGGTTAGGTTAGGTTAGGTTAGGTTAGGTTAGGTTAGGTTAGGTTAGGTTAGGTTAGGTTAGGTTAGGTTAGGTTAGGTTAGGTTAGGTTAGGTTAGGTTAGGTTAGGTTAGGTTAGGTTAGGTTAGGTTAGGTTAGGTTAGGTTAGGTTAGGTTAGGTTAGGTTAGGTTAGGTTAGGTTAGGTTAGGTTAGGTTAGGTTAGGTTAGGTTAGGTTAGGTTAGGTTAGGTTAGGTTAGGTTAGGTTAGGTTAGGTTAGGTTAGGTTAGGTTAGGTTAGGTTAGGTTAGGTTAGGTTAGGTTAGGTTAGGTTAGGTTAGGTTAGGTTAGGTTAGGTTAGGTTAGGTTAGGTTAGGTTAGGTTAGGTTAGGTTAGGTTAGGTTAGGTTAGGTTAGGTTAGGTTAGGTTAGGTTAGGTTAGGTTAGGTTAGGTTAGGTTAGGTTAGGTTAGGTTAGGTTTTTTTTTTTTTTTTTTTTTTTTTTTTTTAAATACGTTGGCTCGCATTTTAGAGTTATACACAATCAAGTAACTGCATGATCGGCCAGGATTGCGAATGGGATACAATTCCTTTTGCCCATCATGTTTCTAGTTTACAATTATTTCCTTTTATGTTTCACAGTTTTCATTAAATTAATATTTGGATAACTATGTTTGTTAGTTACGATTGAATGATTTCAATTGATCGATTATATAACTTGCATAATTCACAAACGATGTTATTGCACCTTCTTTTGTTACAAGCTCCTGTATTTTGTACGGAGCGACTTTTAGCATCTGACAACATAATTCATGTTCCATGCGTTGTGCGCCAAATCTAGTACAGCATTTTAAAAGGTGTTCTATATTCTGTACACTATGGTTATTGCAGGGGCATACGTCTGTATTTGAAATCTTAAATCTATGCAAGTATTCTCTATGGAAACCATGGCCTGTTAGAATTTGGGTTAATTTAAAATCTACTTTTGTTGTTTGCCAAAGTCTTTTTATGGAGAATATATCCGGTAATAGCCCTTTTGTATGTTTCCCTTGTGGTGCACTGTAATATCGATTTTGCCATTTGAACAGATTGTCCTTTTTTATTTTTGCTTTGACAAAGCTTATGGGAAATTTTGCATAATCAAAGTTTTTCTTTAAGTTGGCTGCATTTTTTGCAGCCGCGTCGGCTGCCTCGTTTCCAGCAGAGCCTGCATGACCTTTTATCCATGTTATATCGACTGTTCCAGATTCTTTTATTTTCTTTATGTTTTTATGAATATTTACTACAATGGGGTGAGTACTACTGCGATTGCATATCGATTGAATTGCTGACATACTATCTGTGAAAATTTTAGTATTTCTGATATTTTTCTCCAGGGACCAAGCACAAGCTCTATCGATGGCAAAGAGCTCTGCTTGGAATACCGTGCAGCTATCATGTAATTTAAATTTTTTAGTTATTGTATTTTTATTATCCGAAATAACTACAAAAGAGGCACCTACTCTTCCATTCTCTAGTTTACTCCCGTCTGTGTATATATTAGTCGGTTGTGTGAAATTGTTTGGGACTTCTTCTGGAGTTTGTAACTTGTCTGTTATTATTTGAACTCTGTGAGCTGGATGTAGGAGACTTTGGGGTGGTGTGGGCTTTTCCAGTGTTATATCGTCAGGTAAGTATTGGGTGATTCCAGTGCTTCTAATGTTTTCTAAGTGATTTATTTCTGTAACTTTCAAGTCTAAAGGCATGAACTGAGAAAGTGCTAGCGCAGCAGTCGTGGAGACTGTGCGGAAGCCTCGGATGGCTTTAAGTGCAAACAAGCGCTGAGTTTTTTCCAGTAATCGCTTGCAACTCTTTTTCTTTACAGCATGGCCCCAAACACCAGCAGCGTATGTAATTATGGGTTCAATAACTTGGTGATAAATTATGCTTATATTTTCAGGTTGGATACCCCAGGTTGGTCTGCAGTAAATGCACAGTTTATGAAATATTTTTATGGCTTTGTTGGCAACATATTTAATGTGACTGTTGAATGTTAATTTTGTGTCGACGATGACCCCGAGTAATTTTATTTCTTTGACAAACGAAAGCAAGTTTTTGTTCATTACTAAATTAGTTGATTTGGCTTTTGCAGTGAAGGCGATTGCCTGTGTCTTTTCAGGGCTAAAAGAGAGTTTGACTTTCTCTCCCCATTGAACTATTTCGCTTAGTGCTTGATTAGTAATAATTTCTAATTCGTTTGTGTCTTTAGCGTGTGCAATGAGCAAAACATCATCCGCAAAGGCTTGGATGTGACATCCTTTTGGCAACTGAGTTTCCAAAAGTTCGTCGAGGATTAGATTCCAAAGAGTTGGTCCACATGTTGATCCCTGTATACATCCCTTGGACATCGTTTTGGTGACCTCAGTGCCTCCATAGTTCAGTGTTACTTTCCTATTTTCTATGTAATTAGATATTAATCCGAAGATGTTACGGGAGCACTGTATGTATCGGAGTCTATGAAGCAAAGCAGGCCACCAAGCATTATCAAATGCTGACTTGATGTCCAAGGAGATGGCTATTACCTGTTGTTTGTTCTCTTTAGCCTCTTGGATTGTTTTTATGGCATTCATAATAGCTGCAGTTGTGTTAAGTTGCTCTTTGAAACCAAACTGTCGATTACTCATTTTTCCATCTCGCGTGGCCTGGTATTTTATTCTATTTATGAAAAGTTTTTCAAGTAATTTGCCGAACACAGGTAGAAGACCTATTGGACGGAAAGAATTTAAAATGGTACAATCAGTTTTATTAGGTTTAGGAATAATTTTGACGTATGCGATTTTCCACTGTTGTGGAAAATATTGGAGTGATAAACATCTGTTCATTATTTCGGTTATGAGTTTTGGATAGGCTTTAGAAAATTGGGTGCAAATGTCGGCGGTTAGATTATCAATACCAGGAGCTCGTTTGGGATTCATGTTTTGGATGCATTCGATAACTTCCTCTTTAATAAAAGGAGGGTCGTCATTTGTTTCTGGAAATACATCACAATTTTTCCTGAGTTGTTCTTGTGCAGAATTAGAGTCTGGAATATCGTCAGGATAGAAATAATTAAGTAGTGCCTTTGCGGTTTCTTTTTCATCATTGGTGTGTCTGTCTCCAACTTTTAGAGTACTCGGTGTGCAATTAGTCTTTGTATCCTTTAAGAGTCTGTTTGTAACTGACCAAACATTCTCTTTACCTTGCCGTTCACAAAATTCTCTAAAGTTATCTGTAGATGTTCTCCGCAGCTCATCCCCATACTCTTTCTTTTTTCTTTGCCTTTCTTCTAAAAGTTGGTCGATGGCGAGCCCTTTGCGTTTGGTATTATGAATTTTACGATGTAAGGAGATAACATCTTTTTTCAGTTTTTCCAATTTTTCTGTCCACCATATAGGTCTGCATTGGGTGCCGTTGTTTTTCATTGGCATGGATGCCCGGCAAGCTTCATGGATTGTACTAATAATTTTTGTAATAAATGATTCTAATTCTTTGGCATTTAATGTGGAGATATCTACGTCTAGGCATCCATTATGACACATTTTGAGATCTAAGACTGTTTTAAACTCTGCCCAGTTAGCTTTATCACTTTTATACAGATATGTGGAGGTGTTTTTTCTCTTTGTTATACTATCGTTATGTAGGTTTAGTGTAAATTCAATAGAGTTATGTTGGGATAAGGGACATGCTTCCAGGTTAACATTCCAGTTATTTATATTCTCGTATATAGAACCTGAGGCGAACGTTATGTCGATAATAGAAGATCTATTTCTACCATGTGTAACGGTTTCAAATGTTGGAGTGCTTCCTTGGTTACAAATGTACATATCATTTCCAATCATAAGTTCCGCAATTTCGCAACCCCTTTTGTTAGTCGTTTCACTGCCCCAAAGTGGGTGCCACCCATTAAAATCGCCACATATTATACGGTGAGAATCATTCGTTGCCTTAAGAAAAGCTTCTAAGCGCTCAAGTGTTGCAAGTTCATCGTCTCGGGGTTCAACATATGCGGATGCAATATATAATTTCTTTGTACCTATGGTCATTTGGACAACGCAGAGGTTAGGAGATGAGAATTGTGTCATACCAATTACTGCTCCACAACTAGATTTAGTAATGATGCAAGCTTTGACTTTTTGGTCACCTGGAAATTGGTATATACTAAGGCCTTGAATTGATTTCATTTCTTGTTTGTTTCCTAAATATGGTTCTGAGACTATTGCTATAGAGTAATCGTTTGCAGCAAAGTATCGTAAAAATTCTTGTTGGCAACTTTTAGACCGGTCTATGTTACACTGAACTATTTTAATTTTATTTTTATGATCCATAGTCGATTCGTTGGCATATACGCTCTTTCATGGCTTTGACTCTAGGACAAGAAAAGGAAGTTGCTGCATGTTGTGTGTCAAATTTGGTGTTGAACTTATTATTGTGCATTTGGCAGTTGTAGCAGGTAGTAGCAGATTTATTCGCCTTATTAGGACAATCTATGTATGTGTGATTTCCTGCTGCACAGTGGGAGCAGGGATGGATATTATTGGTACACTTGCCTTGAACGTGTCCAAACTGAAGACAGCTGAAGCACTGAAGGAATGGAGAAAAATTTTCTGCATGGATGCGTTGATGATCAACATTTATTCTCCCCGAATCCATTATTTTACGCCATATCAAAGGATTACATAAGAAAACTGCGTTGTATAATTTTGGATTTTTATTTTTCCTCTTAAAACGTAAGCAAAACATGTCATCATTATTATTTATGAGATCTCGTAATTCGTCGTTTTGCCCTGTGATGATACTGACTAATTCTTCTGATGGGACATCATTAGAGATTCCTTTTAAGATGACCATAGGGTTCATTTTGCGCGCGGCTTCAGCGTTAACTGTGGTAGCGGATTTCAAACGTTCTAAGGCGTCATCCCTCTGGGTACACGTATCAAACTCTACTCGGAGCTTATTATTTGATATTACTTGTAGTCTGGAAGGTGCATAATTACAACTCTTAAAACAGATACTCTTACGCCATGATTCGATGACTTCTTGGCGCGAATTGACTTTATTAGTGGGAGTCACAATAATAGCTGGTTTTGTAGCAGGTGTGGGTGCTGGGTTGCTCGTTTTAAAACGAGGAGTAGAAGCAACACTCGCATAGGATTTGGTTTGAGGGGGTATCGATAGTTTAGAAATCTCTTCCTTAATAGTATTTTGGAGCGACTCTTTAACCTCTATAATACTTGCCGTATATTCAGTTTTTATTTGTGTTTCTCTTATGATTCTGTTAATGTCATGCGCCATTTCAATAATCGCTTTTTTGCTGTCGGATGTCACACTTCTGCCAGCCGATATTGTTCTGACTATATTATCTGCTAGAGTGGTGATTAAATTCAGGTTTTCCATTATGCTTGCAGAAGTAGGCATTTCATGATAAGGTGAATTTTCATTTGCGATGCTGCAAGTTTCAGGATTCGTGCAGGCCATTTTATATAAAATTTGCTTACTAAATAAACGACTTACAAAAATAAAGTTATACAGACGAAAAAAATTTTGATTTCTAACAAGAAGCAGGAAAATCTACTTAAGTAATGAAAACTGGGAGGGTGGGAGGGCGATTTTTTCAATTTCCGTGTGTTTAATTAAGAAAATTTTTGTGCAGATGGCAGTTTCTACACGGGACGGACCTAACGGGAGCAAAAAGAACGATTGAAATGAAGATTTGAAAAATTTTAAAAATTTTATCAATTTACGACTATAAGAAAACGAAAAATATGAAAATTAATTATTTAACTGTGAATATTTACAAAGAAAACTATATGGGAATACGAAGGGCAATTAGTTACACTATTTAAATAGAAAATTTCAATGAAAAAGCTTAATTTTAAGCAAATTAATAGATGAATGTATGTATTTCTTTATGAATTTAGTACAATAAAATAATGAAAACAAGAAAATTAATTATATGGCGGTGAAAATTTACTAATAAAACTATATGATAATACGGGGGGCAATTAGCTTAACTATTTAGAAAAGATTTGAACGAAAAAGGTTAATTTTTTGCAAAGTTATAATCAAAATTCTATTTGAATTTATATAATTGTATCGATTCACCACTATACCTCGGTTTAGGTAAGTGGCGATTTTTTCAATTTCCGTGTGTTTAATTAAGAAAATTTTTGTGCAGATGGCAGTTTCTACACGGGACGGACCTAACGGGAGCAAAAAGAACGATTGAAATGAAGATTTGAAAAATTTTAAAAATTTTATCAATTTACGACTATAAGAAAACGAAAAATATGAAAATTAATTATTTAACTGTGAATATTTACAAAGAAAACTATATGGGAATACGAAGGGCAATTAGTTACACTATTTAAATAGAAAATTTCAATGAAAAAGCTTAATTTTAAGCAAATTAATAGATGAATGTATGTATTTCTTTATGAATTTAGTACAATAAAATAATGAAAACAAGAAAATTAATTATATGGCGGTGAAAATTTACTAATAAAACTATATGATAATACGGGGGGCAATTAGCTTAACTATTTAGAAAAGATTTGAACGAAAAAGGTTAATTTTTTGCAAAGTTATAATCAAAATTCTATTTGAATTTATATAATTGTATCGATTCACCACTATACCTCGGTTTAGGTAAGTGGCGATTTTTTCAATTTCCGTGTGTTTAATTAAGAAAATTTTTGTGCAGATGGCAGTTTCTACACGGGACGGACCTAACGGGAGCAAAAAGAACGATTGAAATGAAGATTTGAAAAATTTTAAAAATTTTATCAATTTACGACTATAAGAAAACGAAAAATATGAAAATTAATTATTTAACTGTGAATATTTACAAAGAAAACTATATGGGAATACGAAGGGCAATTAGTTACACTATTTAAATAGAAAATTTCAATGAAAAAGCTTAATTTTAAGCAAATTAATAGATGAATGTATGTATTTCTTTATGAATTTAGTACAATAAAATAATGAAAACAAGAAAATTAATTATATGGCGGTGAAAATTTACTAATAAAACTATATGATAATACGGGGGGCAATTAGCTTAACTATTTAGAAAAGATTTGAACGAAAAAGGTTAATTTTTTGCAAAGTTATAATCAAAATTCTATTTGAATTTATATAATTGTATCGATTCACCACTATACCTCGGTTTAGGTAAGTGGCGATTTTTTCAATTTCCGTGTGTTTAATTAAGAAAATTTTTGTGCAGATGGCAGTTTCTACACGGGACGGACCTAACGGGAGCAAAAAGAACGATTGAAATGAAGATTTGAAAAATTTTAAAAATTTTATCAATTTACGACTATAAGAAAACGAAAAATATGAAAATTAATTATTTAACTGTGAATATTTACAAAGAAAACTATATGGGAATACGAAGGGCAATTAGTTACACTATTTAAATAGAAAATTTCAATGAAAAAGCTTAATTTTAAGCAAATTAATAGATGAATGTATGTATTTCTTTATGAATTTAGTACAATAAAATAATGAAAACAAGAAAATTAATTATATGGCGGTGAAAATTTACTAATAAAACTATATGATAATACGGGGGGCAATTAGCTTAACTATTTAGAAAAGATTTGAACGAAAAAGGTTAATTTTTTGCAAAGTTATAATCAAAATTCTATTTGAATTTATATAATTGTATCGATTCACCACTATACCTCGGTTTAGGTAAGTGGCGATTTTTTCAATTTCCGTGTGTTTAATTAAGAAAATTTTTGTGCAGATGGCAGTTTCTACACGGGACGGACCTAACGGGAGCAAAAAGAACGATTGAAATGAAGATTTGAAAAATTTTAAAAATTTTATCAATTTACGACTATAAGAAAACGAAAAATATGAAAATTAATTATTTAACTGTGAATATTTACAAAGAAAACTATATGGGAATACGAAGGGCAATTAGTTACACTATTTAAATAGAAAATTTCAATGAAAAAGCTTAATTTTAAGCAAATTAATAGATGAATGTATGTATTTCTTTATGAATTTAGTACAATAAAATAATGAAAACAAGAAAATTAATTATATGGCGGTGAAAATTTACTAATAAAACTATATGATAATACGGGGGGCAATTAGCTTAACTATTTAGAAAAGATTTGAACGAAAAAGGTTAATTTTTTGCAAAGTTATAATCAAAATTCTATTTTCGGTTAGGTTAGGTTAGGTTAGGTTAGGTTAGGTTAGGTTAGGTTAGGTTAGGTTAGGTTAGGTTAGGTTAGGTTAGGTTAGGTTAGGTTAGGTTAGGTTAGGTTAGGTTAGGTTAGGTTAGGTTAGGTTAGGTTAGGTTAGGTTAGGTTAGGTTAGGTTAGGTTAGGTTAGGTTAGGTTAGGTTAGGTTAGGTTAGGTTAGGTTAGGTTAGGTTAGGTTAGGTTAGGTTAGGTTAGGTTAGGTTAGGTTAGGTTAGGTTAGGTTAGGTTAGGTTAGGTTAGGTTAGGTTAGGTTAGGTTAGGTTAGGTTAGGTTAGGTTAGGTTAGGTTAGGTTAGGTTAGGTTAGGTTAGGTTAGGTTAGGTTAGGTTAGGTTAGGTTAGGTTAGGTTAGGTTAGGTTAGGTTAGGTTAGGTTAGGTTAGGTTAGGTTAGGTTAGGTTAGGTTAGGTTAGGTTAGGTTAGGTTAGGTTAGGTTAGGTTAGGTTAGGTTAGGTTAGGTTAGGTTAGGTTAGGTTAGGTTAGGTTAGGTTAGGTTAGGTTAGGTTAGGTTAGGTTAGGTTAGGTTAGGTTAGGTTAGGTTAGGTTAGGTTAGGTTAGGTTAGGTTAGGTTAGGTTAGGTTAGGTTAGGTTAGGTTAGGTTAGGTTAGGTTAGGTTAGGTTAGGTTAGGTTAGGTTAGGTTAGGTTAGGTTAGGTTAGGTTAGGTTAGGTTAGGTTAGGTTAGGTTAGGTTAGGTTAGGTTAGGTTAGGTTAGGTTAGGTTAGGTTAGGTTAGGTTAGGTTAGGTTAGGTTAGGTTAGGTTAGGTTAGGTTAGGTTAGGTTAGGTTAGGTTAGGTTAGGTTAGGTTAGGTTAGGTTAGGTTAGGTTAGGTTAGGTTAGGTTAGGTTAGGTTAGGTTAGGTTAGGTTAGGTTAGGTTAGGTTAGGTTAGGTTAGGTTAGGTTAGGTTAGGTTAGGTTAGGTTAGGTTAGGTTAGGTTAGGTTAGGTTAGGTTAGGTTAGGTTAGGT